GGACGAGGGCAAAGGTGAGAAGGAAAAGTGGAGAAAAAACAAACCTCCTTACAACCAGGAGACTTGTCATTATTCACCAGTTAGAAAGTGTTTTCAGAAGGGAAAAAGAATCTCGAGGAGAATCTTGAGGACACGTTAGTGAGCCTCACCGTAAATCTGGTGTCCGCGGGGTGCATGCGCCGTTAGATTTTCATGTCTTCCTCGAATGCCCGATGGAGAAAAGTAATGGACGAAATATTTGACATCAATTAAGGATATCCAAGTACTTTGGCTGTTTTTTCGTCGGTGAAATCCTTTTACACTTTTGTAGCTGAACATCAGAGCTTTTATTCGAGCCCCATTTGACCTTAATAAGTCCGGGCATTTTGCAATGATTTTATTATTTAAACTTTGCATGTCTGAAAATATTTAAAAATACAGAAAAAGAAACGGAAAATTTACTTTTGAGGAAAATTGATGAAGTAACGAATTAAAAATTGGGAGTTTGGGAAATTACTAGCATTTTCTGTAAATAATTTATAACCAATCAATTTTATAGCATGAAAATCATGTGTTCGGAATCGTAACAAATTTATTCATATTCAGAATTTTACCAGAAATCCATTTTATGCCGAAAAATGTTTCTGGAAATTTGAACAATTCCAATTATTTATCCGTAAACAATAAATGTTTAAAAAATGATAATTGTGTGCAAGATGTAATTCAAATGACGCTAATTGTTCATTACTTTTTTCAAATTTGATTGACATATTTGATAATTGAAAATGGTTGAATCTGTAAATGTGGCCTGTACCAAATTGTGAAATACTTGGATATTTTTAAATTGAGATTAAATTAGAATAGTGTAGAAATATTATTTACTGGGCGAATGGATGGGATATGTGTGCGGGGAAGAATTTCCTAGAAAAAATTCATATGCTATCGTTACACCCTTGGATAAATTATTGTGTAACTAATGAAATTCTTTGAAGAAAAATTCAGAAAAATTTTGATGCTCCCGATAATTTCTCCAGTGATGAACGATAATTTTTCTGGTGTTGCACAAGAATTTTTCAGGTGCTCCACAATAATTTTTCCAAGTGTGCAAATTGTCACTCGTTTACGGCGCACGTGAATTTTTCTAGAGAATTTTTCTCAGTGTGGGAAATACGACGCTTTAAGCCTGTCATACCTCACTATCTGAATTAATATAAATCATCATTTGTCGGATCCAACAGTTCGTGGAGCGACGGAGAGCGCGGGTAGATCCTCATAACGTCGTGATGTTTTCTTAATGGACGACACGATAACATCACCCCTCTTTATGTGTACACGCAGATTCGTGGCATCAACTTCATGCAGCACGAATAAAGTGGTACATGGGGTCAAAATATTGCTGGGCGCTAAATAATTTATTGTTGTTTTTGGAGGGCATATTTTTAGTTGATAGAATTTTTATAGGATTTTCGTATATGATATACGGATATTTCAATACGGATATTTTTTATAAAAATTATTTCTACACGATTTCTGTAGGTTTGATCCTATACGACCCACTGTCACATGCATCGAAACATTTCGTATGGAAACAATAATTTATCTAAAAATTTATCCCTCAATAAAAAATCCAGTGTAACGTATTTTGAAGCTATTCGGCGTACTGTGTCATTATATTTTCCATAAATGATGATAGTATACATTAAAGATATTACGATAATACTTTACTATATTGTATTCTATATTATACTATATTATAATACATCATGCATATTATTATTATCATTTTCTTATTTTTTTTTTTTATTATGCACATTATATTTTATAACGCATACAGTACTCTATTATCTATTGTATATTATACATAGTATATATAATATAGTATACTATTATCGTAATATCTTTAATGTACGCTGTCATCATTTATAAAAAATCTAATGACATAATACGCCGAATAGATTGGTTTAAAAAGAATACATTCCTGAAACTTTTCCTTCGGAAACTTTGACATTAACTTCAGAAATCTAATAAATATTATTCGCTACCATAGACATACATTAAGCCCAATGGCGTTAGGAAATACGCGCGCGGACTAATCTAGTGCACTGAGAGAAAATTTGAAGTTCGATTTACAATCAGAAAATAGTTGAGCCATTTTGGTGAACGATACGATTTTTTTTGTATGCGGCACATAACATTATAGTAACTTCACACGCGTAATTTTGCAAATCAAAATGCAGTTAAACTAACCAATGTTCAAAAGTAACCACGACAAATTTATCGTGAGAACTATAAAATAGTTGCAATGACTACATTCCATTGAAGTAATTACTTCTCTGGTCATAGTTACCGTAACCCATGAAAAATTGTTGAGGACTTTTTGACTATAATTCGATGGTGATGGAATATAGTCAGAAGAATTATATTTTTCTCTCAGTGTAGAAATAATTCGTATAGAAACTATTCGTGTAGAAAATTTCTATACGATTTTTTTTCATACGTGATGGCTCTCCCAATCCAATTGCAATCGGGAAAAACATGACTATTTTTCACGTTGAATTCCTCTCTACTCCTGTTATTATTCATAACCACGGTTTTCACACCCTAATCGAAATCATGAGCGCCATTAAATTCGTTGGACGTGCCTTAATAGCCGGGAACAATGTTTCGGGTGCAGGGCCATTTGTCATTCGAGAAAATTGAGTCTGCATTGCCAGGGAATAGGGCCCTGTATACCAACGACAAACGATTGAGCATCTGTACAATTTCTACCCCATATAACAGTGGTACTCTCCGGGCTTTATTGTTCGTGTTTCATGAACTGGCTCGACACCAATACACATATAGACTCATAACAGGGTAGATGGCTATGATATCCCACTGCTCCATGGACTCGAAATCATTAATATATGGCTGGAGCAGCCATTGTTGCGAATTAGGTAGCATTGAACGAGGTTATTGTGGAGATCAACAGGGGGGCTGTACTTTCAGTTTTGGTAGCAGCCTCGCCACGTCGCGTGTCGGGCCACCATCCCCTCCCTCCCCTTTTTCCCCTTTTTCGTCTCGGGGATTTTAATGAAGCCATGGATATTCGGTGCTCTTTTCGTTCAATTCTCTTCTTCATTTTGACATTTTTGTTCGACATTACTAGTTGCACAGGGTCTATTTATGTTTTTGCAGCAGCCTCAGCTTTTGTATACATCGATGCACCGAAAGTTTTATGGAAAATGTAGCGAATTCGTCGGGAAATTTGTTTTTGGCCAATTCTATTGAAGATTTCGCAGATCATCTGCGCGTTTTTATTTTAATAGAAATGTTAAATGGAAAATATTCTGTAGAGAAAATCTAGAGTTCGATATTTCTCTATAACTTATTTTATAGAGACATAATTTCTAGAGAAATTACTTGGCTCAAGTTTTCCTTGTTTTTTGTTTGATTTTCTCCATGAAATGGGAGAAAAAATAAAGGGAAAAAAGTGAAAATTCAGTCGAGGAATCTCTATAGTTTTATAGAGAGATGAAATTCTAGTGATTTTTTCGTTAAAATAATTTCTAGTGGTCATTTTCTGTAAAAAAACGCGCAATAAAGCTGCGGAATTCTTGAGTAAAATCCAAAAACTCATAAATTTTTTTATAGAAATCCAATAGAATTTTCTGTAGAACACTGATTCACTGTTAAAAAATTACTTCTGAAATTTCAAATGAATAATCTTGAAGTTTCTAACAGTGACTCATTCACACGAAAATTCCATACATTTTGTTCCCGAAAATTTCAAAAATTATTGAAAATTGTGAAAATTCAGGCAACTACATTTCTGAATTTTCAAATTCTTCAGTGGTAAATTTTTTTTTCACGAAATATATATATAATAGGGGAGGATGGGGCAAAACGGTCCCCCTTCAATCGTCAATATTTTCCAATTCAATAGTCCGATTGGGATGAGTTAGAGCTCGTTTTGAAGAATGAAAAATTATCTTCAAAATGAAGTTGAAACTGGGAATTTTCACAATGTCATTCACAAGTTATTGACAATTGAAGGGGGGCCGTTTTGCCCCACCCTCCCCTATATATATTTCACATATATATATATCATCGGTGAAATTAATAAATTCTGTCCTTTTATGGAGACCGATTATTTTCAAAAATTGAAGATGATTCATTGAAAATGAAAAATTCTTTATAGATTCTTTTACTCTACTTCGCTATTCACTTCAATCATTAGTCGAATTCTCTTTGATTCATTATCAATATTTATAAAGTATTCATGAGAAAATGGAATTCAATGAGTTCCATTTCTTCATTTCAACAAATGAATAGATAAGCGCGCGCATAGATCTTGTGCATTAAAAAATAGAGTTCTACCGCAATCATAACGGACATTAAATCATCAATGATGATTAAACTCCGGAATGTTATAATGCATTAACCACGGATCCATTGCATTTCTATTGTTCGTATTTTTCGCATGCCATTGGAGCCCGAGTGCATATCGCGCAACTTCCATCTTGAATGGACCAATACAGCTGCCATCTCGTACGCAAGTGGCATTTCAGGACTGACATAAAAATGCAGTATTCATCGTTGAGTACTATGAAGTATTAATTAACGCATTCTTCAGCTGTTCATTGTTTTACGATGGGTCTCACTGCGGAGGGTCTGATAGGTCACTGCCGCCATCTTGTGGGGACGTTACGAGCTATTGACGATGCCAGTGGAGGACGCGGACTTTGTTTTCTGGGGGATTCCCAGTGCTGGTAGAGAAGATTTCGCGGGAAGCAGTAGAAAGTTGCAGGCGGTAATGCTGGCCTATGATAATCAATTTCCCACTGCACATGCGCCTGTTTCAGACTTATTTATCGGACTTCCGAAACGATTTTGCATCGATTCAAGGTGAATTAAAGTAAAATTCAAAAATAAATGCCGAATGATTCTTAAATGACAATATCAGTCTACCAGTAGATTTAATTTTTATATTTTGGTTCGAAATAAAGTCAAATAGCCCCACAAAATCGCAATTTCATTAATTAATGATTATTAATTGTTTATTAATATCCGTGACAATGTCACTATTACAACAATATACTTGTCCAATAAAAACTAGTAAATATATATTTCCATAATACTAATCCGTAATACCACTTATCCAATTGATAATCTAAGAAATATCACCAAGTGTTTTCACAAAACCAAACTTACCGATAAAAAATCAACTAGTGAGAATCATCGAGACCCATTGGAAAATTAATTAATCAACCAATGTCTGGACAATATTATTGTCAAAGTTTTTTCTTTTTCCGTTAAAAATAATAAACAAGAGATAGCGAGCGTAGAAATGCATAGATTTTGGCACTGGTAATCGTTAACATTGAGTTCAATCAAGGAAATGTGAAATTGAACCGAGTACTCAACGCAAACAATGGAATCATGTGACATTAAAATCTCATACGTAGACAGTTATGTGCGGCAAGTATCATTAATCTTAATGTATGTACATAATCTTTTCGTCGTTCGCGTCTTCATCACAAGCATCACAAGCACTTGGGCTTGAATATTGTTTCGATTAATTACAGATTTTTCATTTCGACTGTTCATCGAAGTCACATGCCTGTTGTCAGTACGAACTAAGCCATTTAGATAAAAATAAATATGGTATTTATTCTTAGAAATTGGTCAATTTCGGTCGGCGTTTTCATTAATTACCTTCATCATTTCATTATTTCTCAATCTAAGTGCAAAAAAGCTTAACAACTAGTCACTTTAAAATCACTATGTCATTTGTATCTTTCAACTACCTGCACAACAACGGCAATCAATGCAGCCGCTCGTTTGTGCGCTTTATTCCCATGGAAAATGGTGCACTTAAATTTACAATTATATAAACATTAAAATGGCTTTCGCAAATGAACAAGCTATATTCACTTTTCATTTAGTACTGCATTATTTCTTTGCAAGTATACTTGTGATATTGTGTTCTAAAGTTTCTAGTGCATGTGAAAAATTCAGGAGAAAATTCAAGCGCATTTTAGCAAACATATTCGACGAAGAAAAATCAATGAGTTCCCAACTTCTCGGCCATTAACGGTCATAAAGGAAATAATTGGGAAAAACCCCATTCTTTCACCAATTGCCAACATTTCGAACGCACGAAGTGTTTTTCATCAGAGCATTAATTTCTTCTATTTTCCAACCCATTAGTTATTTACAGGTTGTAACAGAAATATATAAATCCAAAGAAAATGCAAATGGAGTGGACGTTGCGAATGAACGAGAACGGCTGGAATAATTATAGTAAAAATTAATGAGGTTTGATTTTTTAACGGAACTGACACTTTTGCGATTTAGTCCATTAAAATTCTTCGCCACAAAAATGTGAGGAAGAGCTGCACAACGTTCAACAGAAATCAACAGAAAACAAACTGCATTCCCAATAAAATTCCCTCGCACTCGTACATTCTCTCGAATTTTCTCACACGTTAAATTATCATGAAAAATATTTAATGGCAGTAATTGTACATTGGACACTGAGAATTATCATTTACTCGTTCACGCACGAATTCCTCGAACGAGCCATGAACCTTGCTGAATTTATCGCATATAAAACATATAATTTTCTTCGATTCTCCTGAATAGGGTAGAAAATTATCTATCATTTCGACACAGTGTATCAAAAGATATTCAGCACTACACGTGTATGAAACAATAGCTCGAGACATTGAAATTTTGTCATTGAATTCTAATCGTGACATCTATATCCATACAAAAGGCGAGAAAAAAATGATCCAATTACCCTAAAAATCACACAGAAAGAGATTTGAAAATGTTAAAAATATTGAGAATAGAAAATTGTCATTATGTTGCTAGTCGCTCCTCCTTGCGACCACCGTCGAGATACTCATAAAAATAGTCTCTGAAGTATATTGTTAGTCTTATGAGGGACAATACACATATGACGTAGAGTGAAATGGCGAGGAGTACGAGAACTGCCATACGTGCATTAGCACCAATTTCACTATCGTGTCCATTATGTGCACTGCGACCACTGGCCATCTGCCTCCTAGGATGTGAATCAATCTGATAGCGGTAGGCAGAGGCCTGTGGTCAAGCTCAGGACCTCCAGCGGGCTCGTTGCATCTCAATTTGTCCCTCCAATGTTTTGGCGAGGTAAATAACGAATAGTTGGCTCAATGCAATACCCAGTGCTATGCCTGCTATTGTGTACAGATTGCGTTCAGCCCAACTGCGAACAATTTCTATGCAACCACTTATCCAAATTCTCTTGCCAGCCTCGGATGGGGGCAGCATTTGAATCTGGTAGCCACACATTATGTTCACTAGTCCACTCTGCAACAAGATTTTTTTTTTACTGCGGAATTATCCCACGGGCGGGGGAGAAGCGGATGAGTTTTTTTCATTTTTAACTCACAGAAATGTCTGTTGTATTTATGCAACATGAGAATGGCACTCCACAACTTTCTCGTCCAGGACTTGAGCAATTGAAGTATTCGTTCTTCTGCCAGTCTAGGTAACCCTGTTGACTCAGGCCACAGCATTTGAACTGTGTAAATTAATGGGTCGTTGATAATTAGAGGAATTTGTCGATGACTTTATGCGGAAATTATGGATAGTGTACGGTTTAATCTAATTATTTTGTAAATGGTGATAGAAATCAGGGAAATTCAGGTGTATATGGTTACGTATTTCTTCTTTTTCTCCCTCTCAGCTACTTTCAGGTCCGGTCGTCCCTTTCTTAGTTCTTCTTAATCTTCGTTACTAGTCCGTGGACGTGTTATTCCTTTTTATTATTCATTTCGCAAGAAAATCGTTTAATAAACACTCATTCTTAATTAAATGGCTTGTATTTAACCATATTCTTGAATCTTCAAAAATTTCATGGGTTTTTGTACTTTAAATTGGATTCAAAGTTGATTTTCTAGAAATTAATACTGAACTGTCCGTGAAATTTCAATTTTCTTCTACAGTATTGAAACTTTTTGGGTCAAATTTCCTAAGTACTTTTTGAAAATTTCGATAGACAAATCCATCAAGTCTGGATTTTAGTTCAATTATTTTATGAATGTTGATAAAAATCAGTTAAATTCGGGCAGATATATTCTTGAATTTTTAATTAAGTTTTAATTGAAATTCCGTTGTTTTTTCTCCCATAAACCGAATTCAATGTCGTCCTGCTAAGAATTACTATTCAACTTTCCCCGAAATTTCATTTTTTTTCTGAACTGCTAAAAACTTTTGACTGAAATGTCCAGAATACTTTCTGAAAATTTTCGTCGAAAGACAGTTCCACTGAATTTTGAAGGAATTTCGTCCCCAAAAATTCTTATTCATTGAAAATAAAAAATCATGTGAATGTATTTTTAAATTCCCAATTTCCACTGCAATAAACCCAAACCAAACGCAATTCCTCACCTCTTGCTGTCCAAAATCAATGAAATTCTGTAAATCAGGATCCTCCCTATACGTCTGTATAATCTTATCAGTGAAAGACTCCTCCAGCAGTGACTGAAGGGTATGTGGGAACACAAATCCAACGATTGCAATTCCCATTTCGAACAGAAAGAATGCTAACAGACACCACGAATACTGAAACGAAATCTCAAGTCAGTTACGCTATCATCGACCAAATCGGGCCAAAATGGGCACTCAGAAATTTTCTAAAATATCCATAACTCAGGAATAAATTAATCAATTGAGCTCAGACTGGGCTCATTCCAAAGAGAGATGAATTCATTGGATCAAAGGAAAGAAACTATTCCACTTATGAAATATGGCTGATTTAACTAATAAAGCTCTTCCGAATTTCAAACCAGAAAAATGTTTTCTCAAATATCAAATTAGGAGAGAGTGGGGTAAACTGGACACTTTGGACTTTGTTAAAATCATTCATAACTCAGAAACAAATTTATCAATTGAGCTCAGTTCAGGCTCGTCACAGAGAGAAAGAATTGTTCTTTGTACTGCAAAAAAAAAATTAAATCTCATCAACATTTCAACCCCTCATTAACATTTATAAAAAAGTCAAGTGTCCGTTTTACCCCAACCCCCCTAATTTTTCCCAACATGAATGCAATCTCCAGAACCATGTCATCAGTACTTGAATGGGGTTTCAACACGTGAAAAATATTTTGAATATCCATTTTGCCCCATCGTCCCGTATTATTCCTTTCCCATCTATACTCACAAATTTGAGAAGACAGGTGTTTTCCCTGAGTGCTCCCACACAACCAGCGAAACTAACGATAAAAACAACCCCACCAGCAATGACCATAACCAGCGATATATTGAGCACAACGTCATAGACATTTTCAACTCTAACGGATCCGGTTGTTTGCCATTTGTCGTAAAAGGCGTAGAGTCCCACGCCAATGAGCAGCCCTCCAAAGAGCTAATGACCCACGATTATTAATGACACTTTGATCACAGTAGTGAGTCAAATATTAGTAACTTACCCAGAACACAAAGTTGAGGATGAAGATCATGTACTTGACGCACGAACTGACGTACGTGAAATTGTTTGTGCGTCTTCGGTTGTACATGGTGGAGGAGTCAGGCAATTGGTCTAGTCGTTGAATATTCCGATTTTAATATCTCTTTGCCGATTGCGCTGGGCTGCATATGTGTTACCAAAACGCTTGTACAGAGACACTGTCGAAGGTACTCATTGCCATCCCGACGAACCCCTCAGCCTCCACATGCTCCACAATACCCTCCCCAACGGTGTTTCGTGACTCAGAGGTTGCAATCGCAATTTTAGAGCTGATTTATTTGTAATTATGATAATGTGGGAAACGATACACTACTGTGGGACTTTTGACAGGTTGATTACTGGATTCAGAGGGCAGTCTTCGGATTTATTTTGGCCTGTCGACCCATGATGCATCGCGGGTGGTGGAGCTTTGGAAAACGGTGGTTGGCGTCGCTGGCGGTTTCTTACGAAGTTCTACTTGAGTTCAAATCGTTCAAATGGAGAAAGTGGAACGATTGGTGGCATCAGATGATTAAAAAGGAGAAATTTAAAGGAGCTCTACCCTTAGGCCAGGCTACGCTGTACATTTTGATATTTTTATTTTTTTAATTTTTCAACTAAATTGCATGGAAAAAATTTGAACAAATTCATACCCAATCAGTACTATCTAAATTAAATTCCGCAAAACACTGATATTTTCTCAAACATTTCCCTCTTATAAATAAATACTAAAACTTGTTTGCAAAACGGTGGACTATTTTTTATGAGGTGTCAAAAAAATTCTTGACTTTTTCCAGAGGTATTTGATAGAGAAAATTATCTAGATTTTGATTTTTCGACAGAAATTATTGTGCGTGAAATATACAAATTTTTTTCGCTGTATTTTGATTTTTTTCATATTAAAATGCATGACAAGAAACTTGGAAAATTCTGTAATCAGTTTGTGAGTGTTTTGTACGGTTTTATTGACGTCCAAATGAGTTTCCGATTACCAGATAGAAAAAAAATCTAATTATTTATTCATAGTTAACTTTCTGTTATTGTGCTGTCATTGCATAATTTTTATGGAATTTGGAGCTAAAATGTTTTGAAAATAGATGGGAAAAAATAAATGGCTTTAATGAGCAGTGGATTTCGAACTTGAAACGTTGGCAGAAAGAGGATTATTCAGTAGTTTACTCTACTACTGAGTAAAAATTGCTATGAGCCGCAAAATGGCTTGAAGAAGTCCGAGAAATATAAAAATTCTTGAAAAAAAAACCAACAGACGGGATTACATAAAAAAATCAATATCCACAGTTTTTCCATAAACAAATATTTTAAAAATGCTCAGGAGAGATGCGCAATTTTTAATAAAATTATCGCGAGAAACAAATTTTCTCAACAGAATTTTTCATTAGAATTTCTTGGAGAAAGCCCTAGTTTTTTAATTAAATTATTTCATGCATTTTCGAGTGAAGTTAGTTCAATTCAAATGCACGATTTAGCTGAGCGCATCATGTTTTATCGTTAAGTATTCATTCTCAAAGAAGGAAAGCATTTCTGTCCTCGAGAATACCCTTCTCCTCGAAGGGGTTTCGACGACTCCATGCGACTTTTAGTCTTCGCGCCCGCTTGCGAAGCTGCTTATCCCATTTCCTCCGCAGATAGTAACGACGATGTATGACAACAATGTGCTCCATCGTGAAAATCATGAGAGAGACCATCACTCCTATCGATAGCACTACGAAGATGATGTAAACTTTCTTCATTCCCACTACTACGTATTTGTCGGGGGGCCACGTCAATGGGGGAATCAGCCAGCGATCCTTCAGAGCGGTTAGCAGACCCACTTCAATTATTTTCAGGATCCTTTCATAATCGAAATCAAGAGTACTCAGAACAGTGCATTCAGAAACAATTTTTCCCATTACATTTTTCCATTTTATGGCAGATGAAAGAGTTTAATAGAAAAACCTCGCCAATTAGCTAGACAATTCTGTTGAAATGTTCAATAGAAAATTTTCCAAAGCCAAAAGAATTTGATTTTTCTATACAACTTATTCTATTCAAATATTTTCTATAGAATTCTCTCGGCTGAAATTTTCCAAGTTTTGTTGTTTGATTTTCTTGATGAGAAGAAAAGAAACAGAATGAAAAAAATTGGAAAATTTGAGCTGAGGAAAATCTATACAAAATATCTGAAGAGAATAACTTATATAGAAAAATGGAATTCAAGTGACTGTTTATATCGAACATTTCAATAGAATCGGCCAAAAAATAATAGAACGTTCAATAGAATTTGCTGACGAATTCGCTAGGTTTTTCTATTAAATTTTTTCGTGCGTGATTCCAAAAAATTCAACTATTTTAGTGTAATTTCCACTGAAATCGCAATATTTATGAGAAAAATGTGATGGCAGTACTTTCTAAACAGAATTAATTCTTTTTAAATTAAGAAAGAGAAGACTAAACTTTTGAACATTTTTAAAAAGCGAGACTCCAATTGAATTTAAAAAATTAGTAAATTTCAAAGGCTTTAGTTTAGAATTCGTAATCACCCATTATCAATCGGACGTTTGTATTCAAATCCCTTAGTCATTCCGGTAGTGATCCACGTTGAGAAATAGGTCTCTTGAGTCGGGATGAATGTGCATGTACGAGTAGCCCAGGCGCGATATCTGTCTTCAGACTCGAAAATAGCTTTTTTACCGGAGCTACCGCACCCCTTTCTGTACATGTCCTCAGCAATACGAGTGAATTCGAATCTACGGCTGTACTTGGGGGACGTAAAATTCGGGAGGATGAGGTCCTTGAGGAAAGATAATTTATCGGATCACCAGACGCACACTGAGAGAAAAACAAACACGTCAAACAAGTTTTGTTTGGGCCAACAAAATCGCTAGTTGAAAATTGCCAAAAAAGAATTTGTTTGGTTCGAATTTGAAAGTCTCAAACATGAATAATTGTTCTGCTTCCGACAGCAACTAAATATTTGGCTCAAGAGGCGGATAATTCACCCCAGACGGTGCCTTTTCAGGATGAAAATATCTCAGAGGAAAATTTATCAACAAATATTTTATCCCCAAGTTACAAGATTGCTATCATATCATTATTATTGTTTCATTTAAGGGTTCATTTCTTGTCTGTGATTATTAGACAGCCGAAACGAAAAACTACTATCCCTTGTTTCGCATAAAACAAAGATTTTTCGGGAGCGAAATACGTATGCGAGTATCGAATAACGAAGGAGTAGTGCTAGAAATGACATTTCTTGCGTCTACAGAGAATGCAATTTTTTTTTAACTACTAAATCTATTTTTGCGACAAAAATTTTTCATTCCAGCGCACTCTCCGCATGTTTAGCACAAAAAAATCCTTTTTGATAATTTTCAAAAAACTATTTTCTTGGCACAAGTAAGACTTGTTTGAGAACTTTGCACATAAGGACTTCAAAGAAAAAGTACTGAAAAATTCCCCTGTTTTATTACGCGTTTTTCATAGAAAACATCCTGTAGAATTGAATCTTTTCTATTCTCCACATCGTAAGGCTTTTCCACTCTATTTTTCTTTTTTTTCATTAGAAAACTCAAACCAAAAATTAAACAAGAAAATTTGAGCTGAAGAATTTCTCTCGAAAACATTTAAATAAAACAAGTCGCATAGAAAAATCGAATTTCTCTGATTTTTTCTACAGAATATTCTCCACTGAACATTTCTATTAAAAAAAAAAATTTCGAACGTGCGTACTTCATGGGAGCAGTATAAATATTTCAGAAAATTGTTACGTGGAATTTGCTGAATCCCAGGGAAGCGTTGTTGACTACAAGTTTGAAATCACTTTTAGCAAGGAGAGAAGCAATGCCGGTGAACGGCAGATGCATTTCTTTATGAGTCATTGATGCAACGAGGGATGTACTGAAAATGCTTATGATCAGCCAGGCACATGTCCTTCGGGAAAAAGCCATTAATCGGGATCGCTCCATGTTGGCGGGTATATCTCCTGATAATGAGAATTGATTATTGATCTATGAATTTTCAACTTGATCAATCAATCCAGAATAGAACAGAGCAAAGCTGAACAAATTATTCTTTTCCGTTTTGTTAAATATTCGGATATCTTGGTAATTAGTTCATATATGACAAAGTTTAATGGAAAAATCTAGTTACTTCTCTGAGAAATAATATTGTCTTTCTATTGGAATTCTAATAATTTCTATAATTAAGTGTCTATTCTTTTTTTGAAAAAGCGAAAAAAATTTATAAAATTAAAAACAGATCAAGTTATACAGTAAAATCAAACTTTTCGTATAATTTTAAATATAAATTAACGCAAGAAACAAATAGAATTCATCACAGAAGAAATCACTGGATTTTTACATTATTTTGTTTCATACGTATTATTTCAGAAAAAAATATGACAGAATTTTTCTTCAATGTCCGAGCTGCCCAAAATGTCCTCTGAAATTTCTAGAAATATCAGTAATTCCCCGAGACGAATGCACAATCAACAAAAAACCTTGATTGCAGAATGTTCCAAACGTGTAAAAAAAATGTTCCAAGAGTAGATGCCGGAGACTGTTCCTTTGAAATCTGGCGGCAGTGAGCCTGTCGAATAAAGTCCCAAAGAAACTGAAGAGTGCTATTGAAGTGATGATGGAAATCCAACAAGGCCACGGGAAGGTCTTGAAGATCCAAGAATCGTCGGAGTCAAATTGCGGTCTGACGAAAACCCTGAAGCTGAGGGAAAAAAATAGTGCACAGCGGACGAATAGTTGATGAAGTCCATTGAACAAACCTGTTTGTCCATAGAGGGGTGGAATAATCCATCACTTCATTGGTGTTCCGGTAGAATGCTACGCGGGGTATAATATCTACTTCATTACGTCGCAACAATCCCATGAGTCCAATGTGACTTTCACTCGATTGGGCACCGAATTTAGCTTCAGGTACCTCCACAGCTTCAATCCTAAACGATTATGTGAATGACTGTTGATGATTTATTGTATTGCTCCATTCATTTATTTCAAGAAATTAATGACAAAAAATTTTCAGAAAAAACGCGCAAATTCGATGGAAAATTCTATTGTTGGCGGATTCTATTGAAGAATTCCGCAGCTTTATGGCGCATTTTTTTATCGAGAATGCTAAAATGTTTGAATGAATCTCATCTTTCTATACAACTTTTTCTATCGAAAATTTCTTAAAATTTGAAAAGTCAGAGCGAAAATTTTTTTAAATTTCGTGTTCGAAATTTTCTATTTTATTTTATTTTATGTAGAATTGAGTTGATATAAAATTAAAATAATTTTTTTTTGTATAGAAAAAACATTCTATTGATTTTTTCTATAGAATATTTTGCATTGAACATTTCTGCTGGAAAATAACGCGCAGTTGCACGCGTTGAACTGGGCATTATCGATACTTACGTAAAATTCAATAAATCTGAGAGCATAGTCCACAAATCGCCCAGGAGCCCTGAGATCTTCGTGCCATTATTCTCAAAAGTCATTAAGTTCACCTCCTTCACCAAAATGACACAGTAATGAATACAAACAAGATATCAGGCACAGAAAAAAAACATAAGGAAACCCAGCGAACTCTATAGAAGATTCTATTGCATTTTTATTGAACTTCTATTGAAAATTCTATTAGTTTTAGGTCGAGTCTATTAAAGAATCCCACAGTTCTACCGCGTGTTTTTTCTTTTCACAAAAAATGGACAATAGAATCTATTTTATAGAGAACATCAGTAGAATTCGTTTTTTTTTCTGTAGGAATTTTCTGTTTTTTCATTTTTATTTCTCTTCCCTTACGATAGAAAAAAGAAATGAAAAAGATTTTTAAAATTTGAATCGAGGAATTTCTATAGAAATCATCTCAACAGAATAAGTTGCAAAGAAAAATCGGATTCTACCGATATTTTTAATAAAATATTTTCATTGATCACTAGTATTAAAAAAGCGTACGAATAAAAAGAATCCGCCAAAAAATCATAGAAAATTCAATAGAAATCCAATAGCATGTTCAACCGAATTCTCTAGGTTTTTCGCTGAATTTTTTTCCCACGTGATATTTTGGATTCCCCAAACACTCGTATTTCCCTACCGAATGATAGCCGATCCGCAGAGTCTGCCCCTGAAGTCTAGCCTTCTCCACCCCTAAACTGTTATTACGATTCTTCATAATTAAATCCCGGAACAGCGAAAAATGCCAAATCGGAATGAAGTCCGCATTTTCACTGTCCCACACTAGAATACTCTCCCCAGAGGCGATCGAGCCCACTACTCGAAGAAGACTAAATACCGAAAAACCTGGCAGGAGTTTCATCGTGAGATTTGATCGAGCGGAAGCGCCTGCAGATCAACTGAACTAAACGCACATATTCAGCGATTTATCCGCGCATATCTGCCGCAGCAGAACCCGATATAAATAGTTGTCAGTCCATTATCACTAATGCATCGTCAATTGGAGGTGAAGAAAAATACTAGAAATTACAGAAAAACATAGCGAGAACGTGAAGCTTTTATTCAACTGTAGACTTCATTTTTATTTGTGTCTTTATTCCCATAAAATGAATTTAAAATGTTGAATTTTTAAAATGACTTTTTTCTTCAAAAGAAAAAACACCCAGAGGATTCACTCACTTGAAATGAACAAAATCTCATTCAAATGTCTCCCAACAAATCTTTTATTCAAACTCAACCTTAATTTTCAAATGAATCATTCATTAATTACCAGAAAAGTATTGTTGAGAGAAGTAAGAAATTCCCAATACAAAATTTTGTTCGATTCAAATGCGTAGTTTGTCTGAACACACCCACGCCAGAGATTTATTGCCGGAACGATTTACGATTAGAATCAGATTCCCAGAGAATCACCTTCATTACGACTAATGGACTGTGTGTCAAGGTAGCAAGAAAACCATTTCACGAGATGGAAAAAAAGAACATTAATTTTATTCTTACTGAATATACAAAAATCTTACTTATATTTATTCACGTAGACTATATAATATTACATCATATGAAAATGATAAGCATGGCAATTGATGTTCACCCCTCAATTTTTAAAAAATTATAAAAGAAGTACACACATCATCAGTCGGTAGAAATACATCAGATTAAATACTAGTCGTCTTAATTAACTTGAACTTTAAGTACACATTTTTTTGTAATTGGTACATCCCCCCAATTTCCCTGGAATTACCCAGAAGTTGTAAAATATAGTTCATCTTTTTGTCACTCCAGCAGTCTCAATAGATCCGAGAAAACGTTAATCCACGATTTGTTAATCACAAACCATTTTGTAGAAATACACCCCATACAGTTATCTTGGACATTACACCAATTTCTCGTCTTGCTTCGTAGAGAACACATAAATTATTGTTTCAATTTTCGTTTTATAGTACATTACTTGCATACTGAGCATTAATAGTCCATTCACGTAATTCGAATGTAGTATTATCGAGACACCAGACAGATTCATCTCGAATGACCAGGGAGCCCCCCGAAAAATTCCCTCATAAATAAATAAATACAATTAATAGTCAGTCGATCCCCAATGCTTGATACATTCCCCCCCAAAAACTCAAACCCAATCATAAACCTATCAAATATGTTCAGAACAATATGAACTCAATGTGCCAAACATTCCAAATGCACATGTAAAACATTGAACATTCATTCGTTAAAATTACTTCGATAACCTAGTCTCTGTAATGTCTTTGCTAGGATCTGGCAGTCTCACTACCATCTGCGCGCCATTCTGAATCCTACTGTTAGGCGAACATTTCACCTGTGGCCCAGTGGGCAGAACCTTCCTGGCCCCACTGAGCTTTGGCGAACAGCAAGTTTTCTCCTCCACTCCAGAATTGACATTGGCATGCTCATGATTAGGCAGACCTCCACCATTCGGTGACGTCCCACACCTCGCCAGTGTCCCCTCAGCCCCCCTCCCCTGAATGGCAGGTGACCCCACCTTGCTCGAGCCCTTCTGCCCCATCAAATACGTCTGATTGACATACCAATTGTGAAGCCTGTGATGTATCTCCGGAAACTGCGGCCTACGATTGGCGACTTCGTGCCAGCACTCAATCATCAAACTGTAGACCATAGTGGGACAGTCCTCAGGGCAAGGTAAAAGCTGTCTAGACCTGATCATATCGATGACCTCCTGATTGTTGTACCCATAATACGGCTGCAGTCCGTAGCTGTAAATCTCCCAGAGGACGACCCCAAAGCTCCAAACATCGGACTCAGTCGTGAATTTTCCATAGAGAATGGACTCCGGGGGCATCCAACGAACAGGCAATAAGCTCTTGGACTGAACCCTGTAGTAATCACTGCTGTAAATGTCCCTTGACAATCCAAAATCCGATATCTTGACCGTGAGATTCTCGCCAACGAGACAGTTCCTAGCAGCCAAATCACGATGAACGTAGTGATGGCCAGCCAGGTACTCCATCCCCGAGGCTATTTGCAGAGAGATGTGAAGGAATTCCGCCTGCTCAAGCACCTTCTCACTTGCATTATTCAGAGTGACTTCAGACCTCGGCGAGTGGCAGATTAAGAATTCATGGAGATCACCCTGCGTCATGTACTCAAAGAGCATGCACATGGGCTCGCCCTTGAGAATAACTCCGAGGAGACAAATGATGTTGGGATGTCTCAAATCAGTCATGAGATCAACTTCCCTCTTGAAGTCGCCCTGGGTCTTGGGTGTGGCGTTCTCCTTGAGAGTTTTAACAGCCACGTAGATGCCCTCTTGACACTTGGCCCCAGGTACTGGCTGCAGTTGGCCTTTGTACACCTTTCCAAAGGCACCTTCCCCCAGCTCCTGAAGCAGTGAAACGTTGTCGAGGGAGTACTGGGGAACTCTGTTCGTCGATGTTCTGCTGCTGGCGCTGCTGAGGGTGCCTGTTCCAGGGGTAGTGGCACCTCCATTGTTACCACTGGTCAGGAGGGAACTCAGTTCAATCGGCTGACTGGTATTCCTCCTCCCGTCGTAGATGTTCTTGTCACACTGGACTCCAGTCATCATTTTACCTGGTGGCAGATTGTGGGAAGGCCTCCGACGGATTTTTCGGCTCTTGTAGCAGCAGCAGTAGCAGCCGATGATGAAGACAAAACCTGAGGCCAGGGCGAGACCGATGACAGCGTAAATCCAGAGGCTGTCTGCACACCTGGGGATCTCGCAGGGCTCTTTTTGGAATTTGTTGTTGGCTTCTACGTAGCACCAGGGCTGGGTGTCATTCGACCCGGATACAGGTGGATTCCTGCAGTACGAGTGTCTGCCCTGGAGCTCGGGGAAGTCGGAGATGGGGAGGTTGAACGTTGATGTCGACCATTTCACGCAGGGACGCCCGGATTTGCTGACGTTCATGACTCCCCTGTGATGGAGCAGTGAATTAATTTTTTATAGTGGGGTTTAAGAGGGTTTATGTTCCACCGAAAGACTGGAACAAGATCAACATTCTTTATTTTTCGTTGTTTGACATAATCTCATTCTATCGATGAAGATGGTTTTGATAAAATTTGGATGAGTTTAATATTTTAGTGGAGAATTAACTTAATATTGTCATTAATGAGTTAATTAAATTAAAAATAACTGCACGTTTTTGTGATAATGGATGCGTGGAGTTAAAATTGAGCATTTAAGGGTTCATTTGTTGTCTGTGATTATTAGACAGCCGAAACGAAAAACTACTATCCCTTGTTTCGCATAAAACAAAGATGTTTCGGAAGCAAAATACGTATCGGAGTATCGAATAACGAAGGAGTAGTGAATGCAATTTTTTTCTAACTAAATCAATTTTTGTGACAAAAATTTTCCATTCCTACGCACTCTCTGCACGTTTGGCACAAAAAAATCCTTTTTCGATAATTTTCAAAAAACTATTTTCTGGTCACAAGCACGACTTGTTTGACAATTTTGTCGTTTTTCTCTCCCTGTATTTTCAAAACAAGTATAATTTACCTGTAAGAGGATCCATTCCCCCAGTAGCATCGATCGTTCTCCTGCGCATTATTCCCCAGCAGAATCCCCAGCGAGAGGCAGTCATGCGACTCCTTGGTCCCATGAAGCGGCAGATCGAAGCACTCCGGCAGAGGGAATTGCCCCCCGAGAAGCGGATGCCGCTTGGCAATAGCGTACTCCGTCCTGCAGAGTTCGTTCTCCAGTGTCTCGCAGTCCTCCCGACAGATCCTCCTCAGTTTCCTGTTAAGCATGTCCCTCCTAGCCGCCCTGGGCTCGCCAAACCTCTTCCCAATCATCCTCTCATTCTGCTCTACACTGAGACTCGAGCGGTGACTGATCTGCGGGCTTCTCTTCCTGCGAATGCCCCTCGGTGGCGCCAGCTCATCGCTCCCCTCGTTCTCCTCGTCCCCCGCCACGTCCTGATCCCCCGAATGCAGGAGATTGAATAACTCAGTGCTGTAACGGTTCTCCCGACAGATCGGGAAGACCGAGAAGCACAAGGACGGCTTGGCGTACACTGCGCAGTTCCTGGAGAGGTCCTTGCTGATGTTTATGACTCCAAAGGCCTGCATGAGCTTCTCCTCCAGCATTTTCTGGGTCATTGGGTGGGGAATGTAGACCGTCTGGTTCCCCACGTACTGCTCGCACGTTTTCCCAGTGTAGACTTCGCAGGTTCCCTCCTGGTTCAGCTTCCTGGGGAGCTCTGGGCTCACTGACGTTGTCGAGTGCTCACTGCACCTCGAGATGCTGCAGGACTGCTTCTTCGCTCTTCCATCGACGTCGATGTAGCACCAGGGCTGGGGCTCTGTGCCACCAGGGTTTCGACAGTAATTGTGATGGCCTTTCAACTCGGGATAATCCGATATCGACTGGGGGAAATGGTGCATCCACTTCAGGCAGGGGAGCCCCGAGGCACTTGTATTGATCAGGCCTCGGTAGGCAGCTCCATTTCCCCAGTAACAGGAGTCTTTCTCGTTTAGGTCTGGGTCGGAGGGGGTCAGGGTCAGGCAGCTGGAGAGAGAAGCGGTTGATTCAACAGCTGAGTCGGGACAGTCGACGAGCGATGGACCTGTCAGGGGGTGGCGGCGCGCTGCTGCGTAGGATCTGCCGCAGGTCGACTGCAGCATNCTATTTTCTGGTCACAAGCACGACTTGTTTGACAATTTTGTCGTTTTTCTCTCCCTGTATTTTCAAAACAAGTATAATTTACCTGTAAGAGGATCCATTCCCCCAGTAGCATCGATCGTTCTCCTGCGCATTATTCCCCAGCAGAATCCCCAGCGAGAGGCAGTCATGCGACTCCTTGGTCCCATGAAGCGGCAGATCGAAGCACTCCGGCAGAGGGAATTGCCCCCCGAGAAGCGGATGCCGCTTGGCAATAGCGTACTCCGTCCTGCAGAGTTCGTTCTCCAGTGTCTCGCAGTCCTCCCGACAGATCCTCCTCAGTTTCCTGTTAAGCATGTCCCTCCTAGCCGCCCTGGGCTCGCCAAACCTCTTCCCAATCATCCTCTCATTCTGCTCTACACTGAGACTCGAGCGGTGACTGATCTGCGGGCTTCTCTTCCTGCGAATGCCCCTCGGTGGCGCCAGCTCATCGCTCCCCTCGTTCTCCTCGTCCCCCGCCACGTCCTGATCCCCCGAATGCAGGAGATTGAATAACTCAGTGCTGTAACGGTTCTCCCGACAGATCGGGAAGACCGAGAAGCACAAGGACGGCTTGGCGTACACTGCGCAGTTCCTGGAGAGGTCCTTGCTGATGTTTATGACTCCAAAGGCCTGCATGAGCTTCTCCTCCAGCATTTTCTGGGTCATTGGGTGGGGAATGTAGACCGTCTGGTTCCCCACGTACTGCTCGCACGTTTTCCCAGTGTAGACTTCGCAGGTTCCCTCCTGGTTCAGCTTCCTGGGGAGCTCTGGGCTCACTGACGTTGTCGAGTGCTCACTGCACCTCGAGATGCTGCAGGACTGCTTCTTCGCTCTTCCATCGACGTCGATGTAGCACCAGGGCTGGGGCTCTGTGCCACCAGGGTTTCGACAGTAATTGTGATGGCCTTTCAACTCGGGATAATCCGATATCGACTGGGGGAAATGGTGCATCCACTTCAGGCAGGGGAGCCCCGAGGCACTTGTATTGATCAGGCCTCGGTAGGCAGCTCCATTTCCCCAGTAACAGGAGTCTTTTTCGTTTAGGTCTGGGTCGGAGGGGGTCAGGGTCAGGCAGCTGGAGAGAGAAGCGGTTGATTCAACAGCTGAGTCGGGACAGTCGACGAGCGATGGACCTGTCAGGGGGTGGCGGCGCGCTGCTGCGTAGGATCTGCCGCAGGTCGACTGCAGCATCTCGCAGTCCTCTCGGCAGAGGCTGCGGCTGAGGCCGGGGGGTGCTGGGGCTTTTGGGGCTTCGGGGAGGGGGTTGGGAGCGGGTGAGGCGCAGGGGGGGAACGAGGAGTAGCACAGGGCGGGGGTCAGGTAGGGCACGCAGGCTGGGTCCTCCCTGGAAGGGCGAGAGCGTTAGTTTTGGGGGGTTTCACGGGGGAGGAGGCACTTACATCAAGTTGTGGAGAGAGTCCCAGGCCCGGGAGAGACTCTCCTCCGTCGATTTTTGCGTTGACGAGGGGGGGATGTGGACCGTGCGGTTCGACAGGTATTGGGAGCAAAAGCTTCCGGTGTACATCTGGAAATGATTGTTTTTTTTTTGGTTGAGCGAGATATTTAGAGGTTTTTGGATTTTTTAGTAGTTTACAGTGCGAAAATCTACGGGATTTGGTTACATTTCTTGTAGGAGATTTACAGGTTTCATATCAACATTTTTTTATGTCGTTAAAATTTAATTGGGCAGACGTGTGCTTGGTGGAGGGTGGGACAGTGGTGAATAATAAATAACATTTTTAGTTCATAAAATTAAAATCCAAATTTAATTCTTGAAGTTATGTAATAAGTTTTCATTCCCCATGTCTTCACGTGGTAGAAAACAAATGTTTTAAAACACCTAAAATATAATAAGATTTGAAATAAATGAAAACAAATGATTTTACCTCACACGAATAAAGAAAAAGCGAGATATTTAGAGATTTTTGGATTTTTTAGTAGTTTACAGTGCGAAAATCTACAAAATTTGTTTACATTTTTTGTAGTCGATTTACAGGTTCCATATCAACATTTTTTTATGTCGTTAAAATTTAATTGGGCAGACGTGTGCTTGGTTGAGGGTGGGACAGTGGTGAATAATAAATAACATTTTTAGTTCATAAAATTAAAATCCAAATTGAATTCTTGAAGTTATGTAATAAGTTTTCATTCCCCATGTCTTCACGTGGTAGAAAACAAATGTTTAAAACACCTAAAATATAATAAGATTTGAAATAAATGAAAACAAATGATTTTACCTCCCACGAATAATGAAAAAAGTCGAAAATTGGAGATTAAAGTTATAAAAATAAATAATGATGAATAATAAATAATAATTTTTAATGCATGAAATTAAAACCTCAATTGAGTTCCTGAAAACAAGTAATAATTTTTCATTTCCCACATCTTCACGTGCAAAAAAATTAAAAATTGAGAATGAACTGAAACACTAACAAAACATAGACATAAATGATGATGAATAACAAATAATAAATTAATTAATAAATTAATTAAACCCCAAATAGACTTCCTCAAGACGTAATAATTTTCATTCCCCACGTCTTCCCACGCAAAAAAACCATCCAAAAAAATACTAAGACTCAAAATAAATAAAAACAACTGATTGTACCTCGCAAGCTCCCCGGAGGCTATCACCCTGCGATAAATCCTGCGAGCCCCGTTCCCCGGGACTCGAGAGTTTTGTCAGAGTGGTAAGCTGCAGCTCTTGAGACACTGATACTGGTGAATTTGTGCTCCCATAATACCCATCACTCGTGCTCAGCCCCTCCACCTCCTCCCTGGACCTGTCCGAAAACGCCAAAAGTCCACATTAAAAAACTGAAAAACTCGTGTCCAGGTCACAAGGGGTGTTTGACCCGCGTGTTTTGATTCTGAATAATTGATGAACCACGTCGAACATAACCATAAATGGCCCTAAAGCCTAGCTATTTTATCACCTCAATCCTCCGGCCCCACTTCCGGCCGCTCGTCCTTCCCGAACGATCGACACATCACTGACAAAAACTACGAGAACCCAAAGCTTCATAATTTCCAAATAAACAACGAAAAAAAAAACATTGATGTCGAAATTTGAACGAGCGCTGGTGCTTTTTTATTATTGTTGACACCCCCACACGACAGCGGCCATTTGAAATTGTTGATGACAGCGCCGCGCAACGGTGACAAATTGAATTCCCTAACCGATACAAAAAGGGTTGAAAGCGTCCAGCCCTCAATCTCCCTTTTTCCCCCGAATTCATGAGGAAAAATACTTCCTGCGTCAAACACCCACCCCCTAAAAAAAATGTCTCATAATATACTGTACATATACTCTATACTCACGCATTTGTCATGCTCTCGAACTCCCCCGCATCCCCAGTATCGCCGTTTGATCCCGGAATCCCTTCACCTGAAAGGGGAAAAAAATCAATCAAACACACATTCAATATTTACTTCAAACATCCCTCTGATACTCAATAAAAAGCTGTGCACCCCTGCTGAGAAAAAAAGCAAAAACACGAGTTTCTCTCGCAACCAAAACAGAAAAAAGTTGAGCTCTGAAAGGGGAAAAACCAAAAGAAAACAGAGAAACGGGAGGAAAAAGGAGAAATTGAGAAGAGCCATTTTGCAGACTGTTGGTCCGGAGAGACACTTGAACCCACCCCCTTTCCACCCTCTCACACTGGCGATTCATCCAGCCATATCGACATTCAGGTTTGCACGCGCTCCACCGCCACAGGCGATATTCGGGACAAGTGTCGCCGTGGTAACGTACCCTCGTAAAGGCCCTCTCTGGACACCCCCCAGTTCTCTCGTGTAACCGCCACAAACCTCTTCACTACCACAAATACAAGAGGAAAGGAAAAAAATCTACGATCATGGGGCAACACACATGGGGGCCCTTACGCTTGACTTTTTCGTGATCCCTGCGCCCACCCACTTCGCCTATCTGGCCTATCTCTATTTTCATCCCTTCTTCTATCGGCCACCCAGCCCCCAGTCGACGAAGCACAAAAGAAAAATCAGAATCGATGATGAGGATACTCCAGATGAAACGAGATGAGACGACGATACGGATGAGGCTTCATTTCGTCTTCGGTTTTACATGCACGGAGAGAAATATGCAACAAAAATTACGGATCTTTTCCGTAATTCCGGAGCGAAATGTGGTTGTAGGAAATTTTACGGAACTGCCACGGAATTTTTACCTAAAATCACGGATTTTTGCCAGAGCGTTCCGTAATTTTCACCCGAATCTCCTGTGAAAAATTACGATACCGTCACTTCAATTTTCTGAGTCGATTCCGTAGTTGGTGAGCGAACTGTGGGTTCCGTAATTTTTACTGAACATTTCTCTCCGTGTGTGAAAAAACAGGGAATTTCGGAAGGGGATGCATTTCACGTGAATGCCTCATGTACAATTGTTATTCTCTCCGTTAAAATGGTCAATGTTTTAATGTTCTATTCTCTCCATTCTTTCAGATTTCACTAGAAACTTCAATGAAATTTTTACTTGAATTTTCAACTAATTCAGAATTCAAAGAAGTATTTCGGAATTTCTCTGATTTCTATTAATCTTTGTGGAATAATTGAACGAATTATTTTGTTTTAATTGACGTTTTCAAAGACATTTCCAAAGACATTTCCAACAAATTTGTTTTAAAAAAGATTTGCGGATAGAAGCCCCATCTTCTGTGATCAATTCCTACGATTGACTTTTCCGTGATCCCAATGCCCGACCATTTTCCTATCCAGCTTATTTCCATCCCTCTTCCTCGCCCTCCCCCTCTACGATGAAACACAAAAAAAAAAAATTTTTTAAATGCCAAATTTTACTGAAAAATCCTTCGCATTGCGCACTCCAGATTTTAAACCCGCAAAATTTGGCAGTCTTCCTGGTTCAGACGTCACTGTGCAGCTCAATAATTATTACTACTGAAAATTCACTAAAATTCTTACCCATTCACTGAATTTCCCTAATTTCCATTACCTTCCACGAAATTCCAATGATTTTAAATCATTCACTGACGAAATTCCTTGAACTTCGAGTAAAGCTAATGTGATAAAAACTTCTAACAAGAAAAAATTCCAGTTTTGTCTTTACGATTGACTTTTTCACGATCCCCCCCCCCCCCCCCCCCCCCCCCCCCCCCCCCCCCCCCCCCCCCCCCCCCCCCCCCCCCCCCCCCCCCCCCCC